CATCTCCAAGGTCATGTGGCCAGCATGACTGCATGGAGCACCATTACCTTCTCGCCAAAGTGGAACCTATTGATCTAATCACATTTGCATGTTTTCAAACTGCTAGGCTGGCAGAACCTGGGGCTAACAGCAGGCGCTCACCCCGCTCCCCAGATTCAAACCTACAACCTTTCAATCAGCAAGTTCAGCAGCTCAGCGGTTTAACCCGCCACGCCACCAGAAGCTCTGTTTAGCCGGTAATGCACCACCTGACATCCGCCAGGGAGTAGCAACCAATAATGAAAGGACCAAGGCAGTCACATCTCCGACCCATCCTCTGTTTGGATATCAGCCAGTACGACAATGACTTTAATCTAAGATCCAGAGAGACACTCGCTGGAACACCTCAGCAAGCGAGAGTCCAAAAATGGCAGGCTCAAACCCAGAACCTCAATCAATGGCTGATACCAAATGAGAGACTCCCCCCTGGGCACACAGAAAACTGGGCAACTTGGAATGCGCTGAACAGACTGCGCTCTGGCACCACGAGATGCAGAGTCAATCTTAAGAAATGGGGCTACAAAGTGCGAGTGTGGAGAAGAGCAAACCACTGACCACCTGCTGCAATGCAACCTGAGCCCTGCCACGTGCACAATGGAGGACCTTCTTGTGGCAATACCAGAGGCACTCCAAGTGGCCAGCTCCTGGTCAAAGGGCATTTAACAGAATACAAAGTCTGCAAATTTTGTGTTTTGTTTGTTTGTTTGTCTTGATTTTCCCTCTCCTTGTCAGATATTGAGGAAAAACACACTATCTTAGCGTAGTAACAAACAATGAGGATTTTTCTTTCACAAAGGACGAAAAATGCACCACAACATTTAAAAACTGCATGTGTGTACGAAATTTACACAGTGCATTTACTAAGAACTGTGTGCCTTTCTGAAGAACAATTGCACAGTTGTAAGTTTGCCTCTGGCCAGGACTGTTTCATTTTGCATAATTTTGGGGAGAAAGAATACAAGATACAGGAATGGATTTTTTGTGTGTGTGTCAGGAGTGACTTGAGAAACTGCAAGTCGCTTCTAGTGTGAGAAAACTGGCCATCTGCGAGGACGTTGCCCAGGGGACGCCCGGATGTTTTGATGGAATGGATTGATTAGATACTAGAAATTAATAAATTTAGGTATCCTGTGGGTTTTTCCAGGCTATATGGCCATGTTCTAGAGGCATTTCTCCTGACGTTTCGCCTGCATCTATGGCAAGCTTCCTCACCTCTGAGGAAGCTTGCCATAGATGCAGGCGAAACGTCAGGAGAAATGCCTCTAGAACATGGTCATATAGCCCGGAAAAACCCACAAGAACTGAGTGATTCCGGCCATGAAAGCCTTCGACAATACAAATTTAGGTATATTCCGTACTGGAGATAGGGGGCTGGTTTTGCAGTTGTGCTTCACAGAAGAGACAAGGCATGCCTCAAAAATAATTATCAATATGTCAAAATAGGATCTAATATATATCTTTGGTAATGATGTTAATTTTTAATTTATATTTTAATCTAATGTAAACACTGCACTGATGTGGATGGATGATTACATAGTGGGATTCTATACTGGTTGTTAACCATAAATAAATATTTGATTTGATTTTGATTGAGATTCTATAATGGTGACTGACCCTAAATAAAGATATGATCTGATTTTGATACATTATATACATCATTAATCTCCTTCCCCCTCTAGTCTTAAGGAATCCCAAAACAAAGGACTCTGAATGTGGAAATTAATAATAATAATAATAATAATAATAATAATAATAATAATAATGTGGAAAGGAGTGTAAGAGTTGGACGTCACCTATTTACTTCTTACTTCTATTTCCCCCATTCCTTCTAATCTCTGCTCATTTGCTTCATCCCTTCTAATTTGCTTCATTCTTGCTAAGGCTGGTTCTCTTCTGTCATCCCTTTGCTGCCACTTTTTCTTGGCTGCTTTCTTTGTTTGTTTGTTTTTTGGGGGGATTCTTTTGTGAGTGTAACTAACTCCCTGAACTCTGGGTTGTGAATCTGTGCTGGCCTTTGTTTTTCATTATTTAATTAATGTTTAATTAAATAATCTTTAACAATAATAATCACCATTGCAACAAGTTTTCCCTTTGGCTCCAAATGCACCCATGTCTTTCCAAGTCCTTCCCACGATCATAATACACTGTAAAAAAATAATTCTGTGAAATCCTTCACAACTTCACAACTGTATTTTTCAATCACTTCCATTGTGTGTTATTATAACTGTATCCATCGAGTTCGGTGGTTCCCAACCTGTGGTCCGTGGAACACCAGTGATCCTCAAGAACTAAAATATTGTCCACAGCTTAACCGTTACTACACTGTTGCAATGTGACCAACTGGTCTCACAAAACCCTCTTATAGTGCCAGGCATCAACAAAATCCATGGATAATTACACAGCCCAAAAAATGAAAACAAAAAAAACCAACATTATTTTTTTTCTTGCTGTTTTTAAGCTTGTATAGCCATGTATAAATATGTGAGGGGAAGTCATAGGGAGGAGGGAGTAAGCCTCGTTTCTGCTGCCCTGGAGACTAGGATGTGGAATAATGGCTTCAGACTACAGGAAAGAAGATTCCCCCTGAACATTAGGAAGAACTTTCTGACTATCAGAGCTGTTCAGCAGTGGAACTCTCTGCCCTGAAATGTGGTGGAGGCTCCTTCTATGGATGCTTTTAAACAGAGACTGGATGGCCATCTGTTGGGGTGCTTTGAACACGATTGTCCTGCTTCTTGGCAGGGGGTTGGACTGGATGGCCCACGAGGTCTCTTCCAACTCTATGATTCTATGTTCCTGGGGTTATTTGGGTGCTGATTCAGAAAACTGCATTGGATGGACCACATTAGCTCTAGATGATCAAATATGGTTTTCTGTGGGCAAACAGATGGCAACTACTGGATGGCATATGTTCTGTATCAGAAACTAGAGCTGATGTGGTCTATTCAATGCAAATTTGTGGATCAGCACCCCAAATAACCAAATCGAATCTAAAGTTGACCAAAAACTGATTTATAACCCTTTTGGTATTAATGTTGGAGAGTGACCCCTGGTGAAAGTGGTTCCTGGTCAAAAAAGGTTGGGAACCACTGATCTAGTAGGTAATCCAAAATTTCACCCTTCGGGGAGAGAGGTATGTTAGAAATTTATTATTATTATTATTATTTCATTCAGAAGTTGAAATTCAACATTGTTTTGACACATACAACTAAGAAATGTAACATGTAACACCGACAATAACAACAACAACAACAAGAGCAACCCCTTTCTGTTCTTTGAATGTGCATGCTTTCAAACTGCTAGGTTGGCAGAAGCTGGGGCTAACAGCAGGGGCTCACCCTGCTCCCCTGATTTGAACCAGTGACCTTTCGGTCAGCAGGTTCAGCAGCTCAGCGGTTTAACCCACTGTGCCACTGACATCTCCAGAGAAAAACATCCAGAGAAAAATATAAGAGATCTCATTTCAAAAGAAGCCTGAATTAATCTGAAAACAATTCAGAATTGCATAGTGCGCCTATATCTTCTGAATATGCATTAAGATTGCATTAAAAAATAACAGACTTCAACTAGAAATGATGACAAAAGAGTGCTTACTCACAAGTTATTTGAACTATGTTTTGATTAATTAAAACTGAGTCTTTTGGAGAATCAATTTATTTTGTATCATGATTTCAATCTGCTTTGATTTAAACCGAACCACCCCTGTATAATACAGCCATCCATCTATCCATTCATTCTTTTAGGGGTACTTTATATTCTTGAGTCATTTTATGTCATTTTTTATTCAAGTTTTAATATTTAAGTAAGATTGACTGTGCACTGCTTGGGACAGATATAGAAATGTCATCATTAGTAAAACAACAACAACAAAACAAGATCCGTGCAGTTTGTCTCCACCTAAGTTTCAGCAGCTATTGTCCAGAAAGTACGATGGATCACCTTTGCTATCATCACATATCTATGAAGAAGCTGCCTCCAGTGAAATTATTCAATTTATAGTTTCACAATGAGCTACAGCTCTCTCTTTCTCTAAACCAGCATTTTAAAACATTGGTATGTTGTTCGCAGTATCTAGATGCGTTGTCAAAGACTTTCATGGTCAGAATAATTGGGCTGTTGTGAGTTTTCCAGGCTGTATGGCCATGTTTCAGAAGCATTCTCTCCTGATGTTTCGCCTGCATCTATGGCAGGCATCTTCAGAGGTTGTGAGGTCTCTTGGAAACTAGGAAGATGGGGTTTATATATCTGTGTAATGTCCAGGGTAGGAGAAAGACCTCATGTCTGTTTGAGGTAGATGTGAATGTTTCAATTGACCACCTTGATTAGCATTCAATGGCCTAGCAGTTTCAAGGTCTGGCTTCTTACTGCCTGGGGGAATCCTTTGTTGAGATTCATACCTCAAACAGACGAGAGTTCTTTCTCCCACCCTGGACATTCCACAGATATTTAAACTGTATTTCCTAGTTTCCAACAGACCTCACAACCCCCCCTGACATAGATGCAGGCGAAACGTCAGGAGAGAATGCTTCTGGAACATGGCCATACAGCCTGGAAAACTCACAACAACCCAGTGTCTAGATGTGTCACTCAAACATTATGAGAAACCTCTGAGTGTATGTGAAATAAGCAATTAAATCATTCTCGTGTGTGTGTGTGTGTGTGTGAAAGGTTTCCATGAGATAAGTTGCGGTTGTATACATTTCGTTATTACAGTTGTTTATGTATGGTACTGTATCACTTCTAAGAAGTTCGTTTAATCTCTGGACTGCTACTAAAACTTAATGACTGTATTGCAAAATGATACAAGTCTAAAAAGTCTGTCATTGACATACAATGTTTGGAAAGTTCCATTCTAAATGTTTGTCACTAGCATGCTAATCCAAGTGAAGAACTATAACTGTGTACTGAAAATGCATCCTAACTTTCTTAAAGGGGAAAGAGGGACTGAAATCATCTCTTACCTCCTCCTCTGGTCGCTCTGCTTCGTTTTGTTTGGCCAGGAGCTCCTCAGCCAGGGCCACGGCCCGTGCGCACGTGTCAGGACTGCGTTCCCAAACTTGGGTCCGAATCCCAGGAGGCAAGACGGCCAGGAACTGCTCCAGGATTAGTACGTCCAGGATCTGCTCCTTGGTGCGGTTCTTCGGCTTCAACCAGTGATTGCAGAGCTCCCAGAGCTGTCCACAAGCCTTCCGTGGCCCCTCGGCCTCTTTGTAGCAGAACTGCCGGAAACGCCGGCGGGCCGACTCCAGGGAGAAGCCACCCCCTCCTGAAACAGGTGTCCGAGGCTTTCCAATGCTCGCTCGGTCTGCGCTGGCTGGGCTAGCATGGGTTTCTTGGTGGCTCTCGTCAGGAAATGTCATTCCCCACGGGGAGGTAGAGTTCCCTGCTTGCTCCAAAGAAGTGGAGAAGACCTCCGATTCTAAGTCTATCGGCACCATCTCCACCACTGGAGGAACCTCTGGCGGCGGCGGTGGTTGTGGTTGTGGTGGTTTTGATGGGGTTGGTTGCACTATTTCAGGAGCTGGACTTGGAGCTGATGCAGGAACTGGATCAAGAGCTGGAGTTGTAGTTGGAGCTGAAGCTGGAACTGGATCTGGATCTGAAGCTGGAACTGTAACTGGACCTGGAGCCTCTGGTGCCTGTGATACTGCCTCCCACTGGACCTCCCAGCGCTGAGGTTGTGGCGGCTCCTCAAGTTGCTCTGGTTCAACTGTGGGAGATGCCTCCAACCCCAAAAGTTCTTCGACGGTCCCTGTGCATACCACCATCAATGAGTCATCTCCCTCTGATTCTCCCACTACTTCCCGTCGTTTGGGGAGTGATGGAGTTACCACAGATATGTCTTCGTCGTCGTCATCATCATCATCATCCTCATCCTCTCCTCCTTCTTCCTCCTCCTCCTCCTCTTCCTCTTCCTCCTCTTCCTCTTCTGCTCCATCTGGATCTACCTCTACTTCTTCTTCCTCCTCTTCCTCTGCTGCTCCTTCAGCATCAACAACTATTTCATTCCCGTGTGCCCCCTCTTCCTCCTCCTCAATTGTAATTTCTGGATACATCTCCTGCTCAAGCAGGACTTTGAAATGAAGATCTAGTTCTCCAGATCCTTGTTCTGGTTCCGTTTTGTCTTCCAAGATGTAGATGGACTTGTCCCAATTATAGACTGAGGTCTGGCCTGCAAGACCCCAAGTCTCACAGGCAAACATGGTAGGAAATGAGTCTTTAGCCACAGGATTTGACTGCAAGATTAGGCTAAAGTCAGCCAGCAGATCACCAGGGATGGAGAGAACTTTGTCAGAGAGTCTGCGGCACAGCCGGGTCCCTCCATACACTGAGCAGATGCCACTACAAATAAGCGTTTACAGCTGCGTTTCCTGTCTGAGGGAGGAAAGAGAAAGGCTGTAACCCAATTAAAGAAACCCAAGCCAATCAATCAATTAAAAGTCCCGTGAATTAACCAAGTAAGCATGCTTTTCAAGACAAAACAATACTTTTGAAAATAAAATAATCATACATTTCTTTTCTTTGTAGGAAATTAACCCAGCGTAAGCACCAGATCCTGTGTGATATTGGAACTCCCCTGGTATGTCAGCTCCACTGGCTGCCAGTCTGCAACTGATCACAATTCAAAGTGCTGGCTTTAACCTATAAAGCCCTAAAGCCCTATGTCATCAGTTGGGGACCCCTCCCCCCCAGCACCAACTGCCACTCTGGGCCACAGTGAAGAGAGAGGGGGCCAGGGGACAGTTCCATCTTGTCTCCTGCATATGTCATCAGTTGGGGACCCCTCCCCCCAGCACCAACTGCCACTCTGGGCCAGAGTGAAGAGAGAGGGGGCCAGGGGACAGTTCCATCTTGTCTCCTGCATATGTCATCAGTTGGGGACCCCTCCCCCAGCACCAATTGCCACTCTGGGCCAGAGTGAAGAGAGAGGGGGACAGTTCCATCTTGTCTCCTGCATATGTCATCAGTTGGGGACCCTCCCTCCCCCCCGCACCAACTGCCGCTCTGGGCCAGAGTGAAGAGAGAGGGGGCCAGGGAACAGTTCCATCTTGTCTCCTGCATATGTCATCAGTTGGGGATCCCCTCCCCCCAGCACCAACTGCCACTCTGGGCCAGAGTGAAGAGAGAGGGGGCCAGGGAACAGTTCCATCTTGTCTCCTGCATGTGTCATCAGTCGGGGACCCCTCCCTCCAGCACCAACTGCCATTCTGGGCCAGAATGAAGAGAGAGGAGGACAGTTCCATCTTGTCTCCTGCATATGTCATCAGTTGGGGAACCTTCCCCTTGCACCAGCACCAGCTGCCAGTCTGGGCCAGAGAGTGAAGAGGGGGGGCCAGGGGACAGTTCCATCTTGTCTCCCGCATCTCATCAGTTGGAGACCCCTCCCCTCAACACTAACTGCTGCTCTGGGCCAGAGTGAAGACAGAGGGGGCCAGAAGACAGCTCCTCCTTGTTTCCTGTGCTGTGCTAATAATATAATATACATAACCATATAATATTTACAATATTATAATGTAATACAATATAATACTACTAATAATATATTATAATTATATATTTTATATCACATGTAATGTTACTAATAATATTACAATATAATGGTATAGTACAATATAGTAATATATAATACTGATATTGTACTATACTAATAATATAATCTATTGTACGCGCATATGTCTTGTAAGCCTCTCTGAGTTCGCTTTGGGGTGAGAAGGGCAGCATATAAATGTCATAAATAAATAAACAGTTCCAGCCTAGTTTACCTGTCCGAACGTATTGCCCTTTATGAACCATCTCGGAGATTAAGATCATTCGGAGTGACCCTGCTCTCAGTCCCACCTCTTTCGCAGGCGCAACTGGTGGGAACGAGAGACAGGGCCTTCTCAGTGGTGGCCCCTCAGCTGTGGAACTCCCTCCACATCAATATTAGATCAGCCCCTTCCTTCCTGACCTTCAGAAAGAGGGTGAAAACGTGGCTTTGGGATCAAGCCTTTGGTGAACAATGCACTGCAATAGATTGATTTGGAATTATTTATAATGATTACCGGAATGGCCTGGTCCATGATTGCGGATAATGAGGTTTATAGTAATATTTTTGTTTTACATGTTTTAACGTTTCGAATCTGGTTTTAAATTTTAATTGAAATGTTTATTTAATTGTACATTGGATGTATATTGTTTTTAAGGCATTGAATCATTGCCTATGCTGTAAGCCACTTTGGGTCGAGAAAGGCGGGATATAAATATAGTAAATTAATAAATCATTAATAAACCCTAAGCAAACACATATCCGAATAGTACTTGGATATTTCAAAGGAAAGAACTGGCAAATCCACCTGAGTATTCTTTACCTAAGAAAACCTCTTGAAATTCACATAGTTGCCATATACTGACAAGCATCTTGAAGGCACATATAATCTTAGCAAATATGTGGACATATTTTTCTTAGAAAGAAGAGGGTAAACTATTAAAAAAAATAAACCTTAAGTCTTTATCAAATTGGAACACTTTTTTCTTATTGGTCAAGATGACAAAAGAGAAATCTAATCCATTCAACCACTTAACATTGTATGTTTGTATATGTGCCTTCAAGCTGCTTGGTTGACTTCTGATGCCTTGATAGCAGCCCCACCATCCGCAGCAGTTAAAAACTATGGAGATGAGGTTAAATATTTAGAGAGAAATCTGCCCCACAATAGCCAACAATCCCTTCACAATGGACAAGGAGGTGGAGCACAAAACCAATGTACTTTCAATTTACTGGTACTTCCAGTCTGACTGTTGGGAAGAGACAAAGATAGAAACAGACCTTGTGAGGCATGTAATATATAAGAGGGCACTAAAGTCTATTAAGGTAAAAGGTAAAGGTCTTCCATTGACGTTAAGTTTAGTTGTGTCCAACTCTGGGGGTTGGTGCTCATCTCCATTTCTCAGAGCCGGAGTTGTCCGTAGACACCTCCAAGGTCATGTGGCCAGCATGACTGCATGGAGAACCATCGCCTTACCACCAGAGCGGTACCTATTGATCTATTCACATTTGAATGTTTTTGAACTGCTAGGTTGGTAGAAGCTGGAGCTAGCAGGAGCTCACCTCGCTCCTTGGATTTGAACTGGCAACCATCCGGTCAGCAAGTTCAGCAGCTCAGCAGTTTAAACTACTGCACCACAGGGACTCCACAAAAAATATTACATATGTTTCTCTTTGTTTCTATATAATTCAAAATCTAAACTATAATAAACTGTGAAATAAAAAATATTTTCTGAAATGAAACAAAATGTAAGATGGAAAATAATAATACTTCCATTGTATTTACATTTGTAAACATCTCTCCCACCTTTTCTTTTTTTAATAAGGGGGGACTTTTTGTGGAACCTGGTTCAGCCGCACCATTTGCAGTTTGGCACCCTATGATTAATTTAGCAATGGAAAGTTTCTGTGGTGCCCCACTTCCCTTGGTGCCCCAAGCATGTGCTTATTTTGCTTAATGGTTAATCCAGCCCTGGGAAACCCCACAGCCGTGCTATCACTGCATCCTTCCCATTTCTCCCCCTCTGAGCCAACAACCATGAAGTACAACCTTCCAAGGACTGAACCACTTTGGAATACAAAAAGAGGAGTCACATGGTGGAGTGATTTCTCCAAGCTTCTCCTTCTTAATTTTTTTTTTTTTTGTACTCAGGAGTTTCCAATTACACTGTGTACTCAAGCATGCAATCCCCTCCTTGCATTTGGAAATGGTATAGCCATGAATGGTTGCCCCACATATTTCTGTCTTCTGCCCAGATGGCAGAGAGAACTTCAAGGACATTATTGTCAACACAAAGCATGGCTCAAAAGAGTAATGCAGTATTACATGGAGGATACTACTAGAATGGACAAATGCAGCTAATTTGTGGCTTAGCTATTTGCCTTAAGCAAGTAGCCAACTAACCATGGGTGCAGCCACACTGAAGAATAAATGCAGTTGGACACCATGTTAACTAATACTATGGAATCATGGGATCTGTAATTTGGTGAGATACCAGCACCTTTTCTGAAAACCAGAAGGGATGGGGCCTGCCTGATGTCACTGGGGAGGGCGTTCCACAGCCAAGGAGCCACCACTGAGAAGGCCCTGTCTCTCGTTTCCCATCAATCGTGCTTGCGAGGAGGGTGGGACTGAGAGCAGGTGATTTTAAAGTTCTAGTAGGCTCATAAGAGGAGATGTGTTTGGATAGGTAAGTTGGACCAGAACCGTTTAGGGATTATTAGACTAATTGAAGTTTCCGGGTCATCTTCAAAGGCAACCCCACGTAGAGCGTGTTGCAGTAATCTATGCAAGATGTAACAAGAGCATGGACTACCATGGTCAAGACTGACTTCTCAAGATACGTGCGCAACGGGCACAAAGTTTTAATTGTGCAAAAGCTCCCCTGACCACCAAAACCTAGAGTTCCAGGCTCAGTGCTGAATCCAAGATCTTCAGGTGGATGCAACACCATCCAACACAGGCTGTAACCCTATACCCTGTTCGGCCTTCCAACTGACTAGGAGTCCCTCCGTATTGTCTGGATTCAATTTCAATTTGTTTGACCTCATCCAGACCATCACAGCTGCCAAGCACCGGTTCAGGACCTGTACAGCCTTCTCAGATGTAGGTGGAAAGGAGTGGTAGAGTTGGACGTCATCTGTGTACAGATGGCATCGAACTTCAATACTACGGATGATCTCCCTTAGCAGCTTCATGTATATGTTAAACAACATGGGGGACAATAATGAACCTTGCGGGACTCTGCAAGTCAATGACTGCAGGGCTGAGCAGGTTTCCCCCAGTAACACCTTCTGAGATCGGCCCTCCAAGAAGACTCTGGAAGTCAAAATAGTGGATTTGTCCCATTCTGCAAAATGTCTTTGCAATTCTGCTGAAAAGTCCTTAAAGATGTGATCATATATTTGAATTGGCCCTTTTTTCTCGTTTTTGCTTCACTGAAAGAGACTACAATGAGGTCAGTGCTTGGCATTTGAAAACCACTACAAATGCCACCATCTTTCAGAGGAAAGGCATTGCACCAGTATTGCCACGTCTCTGCTCCCAACTGTATTTGATCTCACAGCTCATTAATAAAACAATTGCTAAGTGACGATGATAAAGTTGAATAGAAATCTAAACATCTTTATATTAATAACAGATGCACCATTAGCAGTCTTTCTCCCAAAACAAAAAGACTAGGGAAATTGAGACTTTCCAAATTTGTAATTAATTGACAGCTAATAATTAAGAGGGAGAAAATGCAAATTTCCTCTATATTTTTATTTGATTGAATATATACCCTTTCTACTGAGACACAATTAAACTCAAACATAAACGCTTCTGACACTCAGCAAAAGTCTTGATCTTTGAGAGATTAGAATCAAGTTTCAAACAGACAGAATATATTAATATTGAGTTGCTGTGAGTTTTCCAGGCTGTATTGCCATGTTCTAGAAGCATTCTCTCCTGACGTTTCTCCTGCATCTATGGCAAGTATCCTCAGAGGTTGGAAATTCTGTGGGTGAAACGTCAGGAGAGAATGTTTCTGGAACCTGGCCATACAGCCTGGAAAACTCACAGCAACCCAGTGATTCCGGCCATGAAAGCCTTCGACAATATATTAATATTAATCTAAGAAAGTTTTTCTCCACCCACTTCAGTACTTCCAAAAAAATGGGGATATCCCTTTCCTTCTTTGAAAAATATGAATGAACGGGAACAAGATGATAATTAATGAAGATCCTTATGAAAACAAATAAACCTAGCAGCAGGAGAACGTTTTTGCAAAGCCAGATAAATCAATTTACATATGAAGGGAAGATATCCCCACTGTCAAAGCTCGTCTGTTTCAATTGCAATTATTTTTTTCCCAAAGATATAGATCTGTACCCCCAATAATTGTAGGGAATGTATCTCCTATCTATCTATCTATCTATCTATCTATCTATCTATCTATCTATCTCAAAGCTTTTAGATGTTTGGAGAGGGATCAAAACTAGCTGCACTGGCATCTATTATTGCATCAAGTTTAATATAGAGCCAAAATATATGCCGGAAAGATCCTCAAATCTCATCATTAGGTTTCCCAAACAATCCAGTTGTGAGTGCTAATAGCATCCCGGAAATACACAAAAGTGTCAACAGATGAGTGTCCAACAGCAGACGAGGGATACCAATTAAAATACATTAATTTCAATTTTTGTTGGTTTTCGCATTTCCTCTCTAATTACAATAAGGCAATTGAACAGCTTGAAAGTTTGATTGGAAACAAGCTTTTATGGATCGTAGCCCACTTCCTTAGATACCCTACTGCAGACATGGGCAAACTTGGGCCGTCCAGGTGTTTTGGACTTCAATTCCCATAATTCCCAAGAGCCTACTATAAAAACAAGCTTTTATGGACCGTAGCCCACTTCCTTAGATACCCTACTGAAACCATGGTCAAACTTGGGCCCTCCAGGTGTTTTGAACTTCAACTCCCACAATTCCTAACAGCCTACCGGCTGTTAGGAATTGTGGGAGTTGAAGTCCAAAACACCTGGAGGGCCCAAGTCTGCCTATGGAAGTCTTTGCTAATTATTACCTGTAAGCAATTAATGAAGAACTGTAGACAACTGGAATCAATCCGCTCATTAAATATACAAACGGGTTAGTAAACAAAGCTAGAAAAAAGGGGCTGAACTTGGGGGTACTTAAGGCCCCAGACATATTTAAGCTGCCCCCCACTCCTCAAAGTGGGCAGGCTCATCTTCTCACCTTTTTTTACTAAAGCAGGAAACTTAATATATTGCTATTATCCAACACCTGTGCAAGGCAACAGTGGAAACATTTCCTAAAACTCCCCAAAAACCCCCATAAAAATTGAGAAATCCTGAATGTAAACAGAGCTTCTCCTCCAGCAAAGAGGTCTCAAATTTCCACTCCACACCTTCCTTCCTTTAAGCTACCATTTCAAGGAGAGGGAGGGTCTCCCCAGCCCCCTAAAGTGAAGATTTCGCCTTGGAAGACCCTCATACAGGAAAGATAACTCATTCCTAGACCAACTCCCCCCTTGAAGGAAAGCTGTCTCCTTCCTAGACCCCCCAAATAAAAGATCTCCCTTCCACCATTACATCCAAGCTACCAACACAATTTGCAAATGCATACAAGGGGAGAGCAGGGCTTTGGACATCCATGTCCCCCTCCCCATTAATCTGGGCGTCTACACAACCCCCCCCCTTTTTTTTTTTGCAAGCAAAGGAGGCTTCTGGGCATTGCAAGCCCCCTCTTTTTTCCCTCCCCCCCTCCCCATTTGACACCAAGACAAGGGGAATGCAGCCATTTTGCCTCTTTTGATGTGGCTGGGGGTGGGAGGGGCAAAGAGGGCTCCCTCTCCCTTGCAGACCCCAATCTCCCACCTTAAATGGGGGGCACTGGTTTCCCCTCAATGCACAATACAGCCCCCCCTTTATTCCGCCCCCATCTCAATTTCCCTGGCTTTGCAAACCAGGGAGGCCTTTCTTTTGCCACTCACTCACTCACTCACCCTTTGCAAAGCAGAGCTGGTTCTGCTCAGACGCCCCCCTTTCTGGGCACCACAGGCAGGCTCTTCTTGGGGGGGCTCTCTCACAAACCCAGCCCTCCTCCCTCCCCCCCTTAAACCCCAAAGGCGGAGCAGGAAGGCGTCTCCTCCTCTTCCTCCTTTCTCCCACGTGGACGGGGCAGAATTAACCCTTCCTTAGGCTCAGATGAATGGTCAGTGCAAAGCTGCTGCTGTTGCTGCTTCTCTCTCCCCTTTTGCAGCATCAATGCCATCTAGCATTCATTCATATGTATTTTCCTCCCTTTGCAAACTTGCTTTTGCTCTACAGGTCCTTGGAAATAGGAAAGTGGGCACTGAAGAAGATAGCAAAGTTTCCATTGGAACAAAAAGACCAGGCCTGGGCAAACTTTGGCCTTCCTCCAGGTGTTTTGGACTCCAACTCCTACAATTCCTAACAGCCTACAGGCCTGCTCTAACAGAATGTAGAATCAATACAGTTTGAGCCCACTTTGAACTGACATGGCTCATGCTGTCATTTCACAAGTCCTTTGCTGCTCAAACTACATATCCCAGAATCCCACAGCATTGAGGCCTGGCAGTTAAAGTGGGGTCAAACTGCATTCATTCTGTAGTGTAGATGCACCCTGCGACTCCCATGATCCCATCCTTTTCTGCCAAAGAGTGCTAATGCTTAACCAAACTACAAATCCTGGAATTCCATAACATTGGGCTAATTAAAGTGATATCAAACCCTACACTTCCCATGATTCCACTGAGCCATCACAACTAAAGTGGTATCAAACTGCATTAATTCTGCAGTGTAGATGCACTCTATGCTTCCCATGATCCATAGCATAGAGCCAAGACAACTAAAGTGGTATCAAACTGAAATAATTCTACAGTGTAGATGCACCCTACAAATCCCATGATTCCATTGCATTGAGTCATGACAATTAAAATGGTATCAAACTGAATTAAATCCAGTGTAGATGCACTCTGCATTTCCCATTATTCCATAAGATTGAGCCATGTCAAATGAAGTGGTATCAAACTGAATTAAATCCATAGTGTAGATGCACCCTGCATTTCCCATGATTCCATAAGATTGGACTATGACAATTGAAGTGGTATCAAACTGTATTAATTCTACAGTGTAGATGCACCCTACACTTCCCATGATTCCATAGCACTGAGTCATGATAATTAAAGTGGTATAAAACTGAATTAATTCTAGTGTAGATGCACCTTACACTTCCTGTGATTCCATAGCATTGAGCTATGATAGGATTGAGCCATGACAATTAAAGTGGCATCAAACTGAATTAATTCTACAGTATACATGCACCCTGCACATCCCATGATTCCATTCCATTGAGCCATGATAATTAAAGTGGTATACAAGGGGAGATCAGGGCTTTGGGGAGATCAGGGCTTTGGCCATCCATGTAGAATCTGGGCGTCTACACTTCCCATGATTCTATAGGATTGGACCATGACAACTAAAGTGGCATCAAACTGAATCAATTCTACAATGTAGATGCACCATGCACTTCCCATCATTCCATAGCATAGAGCCATGACAACTAAAGTGATATAAAACTGCATTAATTCTACAGTGTAAATGCACCCTACAGTGTAAATGCACCCTTACAGTGTAAATGCACCCTTACAGTGTAAATGCACCCTACACTTCCTGTGCTTCCATAGGATTGTGCAGTGACAATTAGAAGTGGTATAAAACTGCATTAATTCCACAGTGTAGATGCACCCTACACTTCCCGTAATTCCATAGGATTGAGCTGTGTCAATTAAACTAGTATCAAACTGCATGAATTCTAGAGTGTAAATGCACCCTACACTTGTTGAAAATACCAACCTTCTGCAAGCCTCCCATACTAGTTACTTGTTATGTATATAACTGTGATTGCTTACTGTGTTGTATGTATATATTGGTGTGTATTTTCCCAGAACTCTATATTGTTATAAGTTATGGGAGGGACCACAGACCATGCGACCCTGTTCTTAGAATGCTCAGAGTGAGGATCCATTTTAGAATGCATTTGAATCACAAGTCAGTTGGAGTCAGTTAAGTCAGTTAGAAGCCAGTTGATGTCAGGGCAGGAGTACGTTGCAGTGAGATGTCAGTTAGTATAAGTCTGTTTGCATCAGAAGTATAGTACAGAAGTTGATGTATTCGTTAATATTAAACCAATAAGTACTGTGCCTGTATGTTAAATACATTACGTTTCTAAGTAAATCAATTAAGTTAACTTTTAACAAAGACTACTTATTTTTGGTCTCGAGCATGATTTGAAACCAGTATATTTTATGGGAGAGTAGATGATATATCTTTTTGGGCAACTGAAAATGACACTTCTGAAGATCTGCCATATAGTTTATGCATTGGCCTATCTTTGATCCTAACAGTTCAAAGAGATAACCAGGAATATCAGTCGAACAACTGAGGAACCTAAATTGCTTTGTTTGAATACTAGTGGATATTTACCACTAAGGAGATTGGCTCAAGTGAGCTTTTTACTGGCCTTTATTAGCCAGAGTGATTGCTGGTTGATTTTTTACTTCCTCCAGAAACTATGAAAACAGGAGAGTCTTGCTTATCCAACCGTCACTCATCCAACGTTCTGTATTATCCAACGCAGTCTGCCTTCCATCCAGATCCACAGCTGTTTCAATACATTGCGATGTTTTGGTGCTAAATTTGTAAATACAGTAATTACTACATAACATTACCATGTACTGAACTGCTTTCTCTGTCGATTTGTTGTAAAACATGCTTTGGTGTTTAATTTGTAAGATCATAACATAATTTGATGTTTAACAGGCTTTTCCTTAATTCCTCATTATTTATTTATTTATTTATTTACCTTACTTATATACCGCTGTTTTCAGCCCGAAGGCGACTCACAGCGGTTCACAACAAACATTTTCGCTTATCCAACACTCTGTTGGCCCATTTATGTTGGATAAGCGAGACTACTGTACTTGAAAGACGCATCACATTGAGACAGGCAGCTTGTATAGCAAAATTACTACTAAAGTTGCTAGCTTTTGTGTAGCAGCAATAGCTTGTCGGTGCAAGTTGCTGTCACACTCTTCAAAGGTTTTAATATTTACTTCAGTTTTGACCATTGTCATTTTAGAATATAAATGTTTCATACTGTTTTAACTACTATATTCAATACTGGGTTCTAACTTTGCTTTTGACATTGTTTCTTAATGCCTAAATGTGTATGTTCTTATTTTGACGTTTGTACATTTTTTGGCACTGGGCATTGACCGTAAATATATGGTAGCAAAGGATTGAAGTGTGTCCAAAGGGAAGCAGATTTGCTATGCTGTATATCGCTGGTCCCTCCCAGTTATGTCCCAACTACACCGACCATTTAATGGAGTTTTAAGGTAGCTAGCTTCAAACTGCGGCGGCTCAACTTGCATCCACAAAAGTGTATTAAAGAGAATGTAATGCGCACCAGTGCTCAGTGGTTTGTGTAATCGCCATCCAGGTCTCAAACTGCTTCCAGAATTTCCTGTATAGTCATCAGCACAGCTAAACTGTTTTCTTCAATACCAGTTTGAAACAAACTTAAGTGGTCAGTAAAGATGTGCCCTTAGAGCAGTGTTTCTCAACCTGGGGATCGGGACCCCGGGGGGGGGGGTCGTGAGGGAGTGTCAGAGGGGTCACCAAAGACCATCAGTATTGTCTGTTGGTCATGGGGGTTCTGTGTGCGAAGTTTGGCCCAATGCCCACCAAACCCTTTCAGTAGTTTCTGTTGGTCATGGGAGTTCTGTGTGCCAATCTTGGTTCAATTCCATTGTTGGTGGGGTTCAGAATGCTCTTTGATTTTAAATGAACTACAAATCCCATCAACTACAAATGTCAATGTCTACTTTCCCCAAATTCCACCAGTGTTCATATTTGGGCATATTGAATATTCGTGCCAAGTTTGGTCCAGATCCATTATTGTTTGAGTCCACAGTGCTCTCTGGATGTAAGTGAACTACAACTCCAAAACTCAAGGTCAATGCCCACCACAGTCTTCCAGTATTTTCTGTTTGTCATGGAAGTTCTGTGTGCCATGTTTGGTTCAGTTCCATCGTTGGTAGAGTTCAGAATGTTCTTTGATTGTAGGTGAACTATAAATCCTGGCAACTACAACTCCCAAATGACAAAATCCCCCCCCCCCCCCCCAACCCCATCAGTATTCAGATTTGGGTGTCTTGGACTTTTGTGCCAAATTTTGTCCAGTGAATTAAAATACATCCCTGGACATCAGATATTGACATAACAGTAGCAAAATTACAGTTATGATGAAAATATTACGGTTGGGGGGTCCCCACAACTTGAGGAACTGTATTAAGTGGTCATGGCATTAGGAAGGTTGAGAACCACTGCCTTAGAGATCTTTGAGGGTTCTGAATGGAAACATTGCTGTCAAGAGTTTCGTTCCCTCTGACCTTCCAATTTAAACAAGAAGAGTGGTTTGCATAGATGCAACCTTTCGGGACATTGCAAGGAACAAGAGAGAGATGGTACATTCATTCTCAATGGCAAAGGTTTCTTTGATCCCCATAACGCCACCCAAGTATAATGACTCGAGCCGTGGTTCTCAACCTGTGGTCCCCAGATGTTTTGGCCTTCAACTCCCAGAAATCCTAACAGCTGGTAAACTGGCTAGGATTTCTGGGAGTTGTAGGCCAAAACACCTGGGGACCCACAGATTGAGAACCACTGGACTACAGCTTGAGGAAGTTACTTTTGGGCTGCAACTCCCAAAATCCCAACCACTCAAGTGGGAGTCGTAGTCCAATAAAGTCACTTCCCACAAATTATGTCCTGCTTGAGCATCAATTATAAGACATTTGTCCACGTCTTGGCTTGCGCAATCGATCAAATGTCTGAGGTGTACAAAGAAACAACTTGGGAGAGAAGTCATCTGTTGTGTGAAATTTTAAAAAAAACTCTTTACTAGTGTCTTGATCCATATGGGTGAAAGGAGTTACAGTGCGCAAAGGGCAAGGAGTAGGCAGCCAGGCAAAAGTTGGAAGGCCCTGGGGCTCAGTCAATAATCCTTTTGAATGCTAGGTTCCAATTTCTAGCACAGATGTGTTGGCAAAGCTCCTATTGAACTACGAAGTCCAACCACACTTCTTGATCCACAGTGTTACCGCCACCCACTCTTCCCCTTCCACACTCCAATTTGCATATTTCTATAGCAATGCAGCCCTTGGTTGTCCACTCGGTCTTTTATCAAAGCTGTGATTTCCAAAATATTTTTTTTCTCAAAAGAGCATGAGAGCAGCTTTCCCAAGAGGGATCTCCATCGTTCCGTAGAGTCACACACTCCTTTCTCCGTCAATACAGACTGGTCAATCATTTCTAAAAATACATTGCTTTTGTTTCACTAAAAAGATACTGTTTGGGGTCAGGGAATACAGGCTGTGTTATGCAACAATAAACCTGCCTAGAGAACTAGAAGATCTATCTCCTTTTCTATTACAAAAGAGGAAAGAGACAAAGAGAGAGAAAGAGAGAGACATCCAACTGGTGCTATCACAATGTTATCGGTTCAGTGTTGTTCAAGAAAGTCAACTCAAGTGAGACTTGGCTTCTTCTTTGAGTATGCCATTCTACCTTCTGCGGTGGATTTCCAGACACAACCTAAAATGGAACCTGGAATCTGCCACGTTGTCCAACTCGCTTCACACATAAAATAGGATTTATTCTATCTAAGCCTTCCCCAGCAGATCACTTCTCTGCTGATCTTCAGCTGAAAGGACATCTTTCATCCGGCCCATTATGGCACCAATCTTGGTCATCACGCTTTGGCCCCGGTTGAATACTGGGGGCTAGGAAACGTCGGAGAATGTCTCAACTAAGTTGTGTGGGTTCTCCGGTGTCGGACCAGGTGTGAGTTCTGCCCAAATTTCTTCCCACACTCGGGACACTTATAGGGTCTTTCTCCCGTGTGAGTGATCTGGTGTCGGATGAGATCGGAGCTCCATCGGAATTTCTTCCCACACTGGCTGCACCCATAGGGGCGATCCCTTGCGTGGGACAACCGGTGCCTGGTCAGCTCAGAGCTCTGGTAAAAACTCCGGCTGCACTGGGAACACCGGAAGGGTCTTTCCGAGGCGTGGGTCCTCTGGTGCCGCGTCAGCTGGGAGGTGTGACTGAAACGCTTGCCGCACTGGGGACACTGATGGGGTTTTTCCCCAGTGTGGATCCTCTGGTGGGTGAGCAGGTGGGAGTTACGGCTAAATGTTTTCCCGCATTCTGAACACCGGTGAAGGGTCTTCCCTTGTGGGTGGAGGCTACCGATGGGGTTGGAGAGTGCAGCTGGGCTCTCTCCTGTCTCGCCACATCTCTGTCTCACCACCTGGCTCTGACATTGCTGACCTGCATGCTCGCCATGATTCTCAGCTAACGGGTTTTCCTGGGAATTCACAGGCAGGATTCCAAGGGGCATAGAACCATTCTGCAGAGGGTTCTCCTCTCGGCTTCCATTGACCATCAGAGGACCTGCGGTGGATTGAAAATGAAGAGTGCTTAAGGACAAAATACAGGTAAACATAATATACTTTCAACAATGTACTTGGACAGAGGTGCTGAGTGGAGGATGGGAGAAGTCAATAGGACAGTGGCATGATGGAACTTTCATGGAACACTCCTGTGACCATCTCTGGCCATTTGTATTAACGCAGGACAGAGCTACAGATACTATCTGGCAACCATTCCTCTGTCCAGAGCAGGGGTCCACAAACTTTTTAAACAGAGGGCCAGGTCACAGTCCCTCAAACTGTTGGAGGGCCGGATTATAATTTGAAAAAAAAAACATGAATGAATTCCTATGCACACTGCACATATTATTTGTAGTGCAAAAACACTTAAAAACAATACTATAATTAAAATGATGAATAATTTTAACAAATATAAATTTATTAGTATTTCAGTGGGAAGTGTGGACCTGTTTTTGGCTGATGTGATAGGATTGTTGTTATTGTGTGCTTTCAAGTCGTTTCAGACTTAGGTTGACCCTGTGCGAGGGCTGGGTAAATGACCTTGGAGGGCCTTATCCGGCCCCCGGGCCTTAGTTTGAGGACCCCTGGTCTAGAGAGTTGCATAAGGAAGTGCTGGTATGTCCTTAGACAACACTGAAAAAAGTCATTCCATTAGTGCAGAGTTTCTCAAACTGTGCTCCTCCAGATGTTTTGGACTTCAGCTCCCACAATTCCAAACAGCTGGTAAGATGGCTGGGATTTTTGGGAGCTAAAGTCCATAATAATAATAATAATAATAATAATAATAATAACAACAACAACAACAACAACAACAACAACAACAACATCAACAACAACTTTATTCTTATATCCCACACTATCTCCCTGAAGAGACTCGGAGTGGCTTACGTCGGGACCAAACCCAATATAGACAAAATTACAAAGTAAACACAATTAAAAACACTTAACTCATAAACAGCATAATTAAAACAATTAAAATCAGAAAAATAACAATATAATTAAAATATATCAACTGACAACAACAACCAGTAGCCAGGAAAAATTGGCATGTTCAGACTCGGGAGAACAGACAACTCCACATCTGTATGCTTGTCCATTGTGCCCTGCCTCAAGTACAGAGGAAGACTTGTTGGAGGCTACAGACAATGCCATTGCTGTTGCCTGTTTTTGATCAAAAGATATTTAGTCACCTGCGCTCCTTCTATTTTTATTGGTTTTATACTAATTTATGCAATGCTTTTGATACGAAATAAATAAAAAATATATACCTATAAGACTTTGAGTGACAATGGAACTAAGGTTGGGTTGTGCCAATTACTACCAGGGCCACCATGTAATTGTACGAACTGATGCCTGAATCTGTTTGTTGTGCTCTTCCAACTCATCTCTCGACTGTATGCCTAGAGTCATTTTAATGAAGCCAAATGTTTGAGAGCGTCTTTGGTGGAGAGAAATGCTTTATAACACAGTTTGTATTATAGCCCTATCTCACCTTCACCAAATCTTAGGTAGGACATTTGGATAAGCAGAGGAGCGGTGGGACTTTTGAAAGTTTATTTCATTTTACTTGCAAATGGGTAAGGGTGTGCATTGGGGAAGGAGTGTTCTAAAAATTCAGTGGAATTATCCAGCTCCTCTTCACAACCATCCTCCAGGAATGATATTATATAATCAGGCAGCAGTTTTTAAAGGCATTCATGACCATAGCTGCAAAGCACATTCATGACCATAGCTGCAAAGCACATGGTGTGTAACCAAACCACAGACTGGCAACTATTTAACTCCATTTTAAATAAAGTCTGTTCAACCAAATATCTTCATGAGTCCCAGAACAATTTCCTGTAAACTTCTTAAAAATCAGAAATAAAAGGAAAAAAAGGCTCAATTTCTTGGTCCAGCCTCAAAGAAGACCACGCTGTGGATCAATAGGAATTTATGATTGATTTCCCTGAGGAAGACAGACATCCCCACACCAATGAATGCCTTGCAGCCCTATTCAATTAAAGAGCTTCCTTTCCAGTATCTCACCTGCTTCGTGAAGGACGCGAGGCTCTTGTTTAGGAATGCAGGGCATCTTGAGAAGCGGTCCTGGGGGAGGCTGGTGTAGTGTCACTTCTCCTGAGGATACGCATTCAGGATGGGGCATCAGTGGGACAGAAGGCTCCCATGGCACACTGGGCACAACCATCTCTTGAGGGCTGACCTGTTCAACTTTGACCCGTACTGTAACCTGGCAAGGAAAGACAACTGGATCTCATTCTGGAAAGCATGGAGAAGTAGGGATGGGATGCTTCCATCATGCATAATATTCAGTAGTTGGTGAAAATTAAACTCTATGAGCTCTCTAAATGAAAGGATAGAAAAATCAATTAAGAGAAAATTTGGGGAGACAGGAGATCTGAAGAAGGAAGAGGACTTTGGATGTAAATACAGTTTACAGGATGTAAATTTCAGTATAATGAACTGAAAGTCAATCTGAAAACAATTTAGAATAATTCCCTAATTTTTATCTAAGTAAAGGTAAAGGTTTCCCCTTGACATTGAGTCTAGTAGTCGTGTTTGACTCTGGGGGATGGTGCTCATCTCGATTTCTGGGCTGAAAAGCTGGCCTTGTCCGTAGAAGTCTCCAAGGTCATATCGTCGACATGACTGCATGTAGCGCGTTACCTTCCCGCCAAAGCGGTACCTATTGATCTACTCACATTTGCATGTTTTCAAAGTGTTCGGTTGGCAGAAGCTGGGCCTAACAGCAGGAGCTCATCCTGCTCCCCGGATTTGAACCGCCAACCTTTCAGTCAGCAAATTCAGCAGCCACCGGGGGCTCCTATCTACTATCTAACAAAACCACCATATCTGAATATGCATTAAGTTGATATTAATGTGCTAAAGTCATGATTCAATTGACTCTTCAACACTAGTTATTTAAACTGCAATCTAAATCATTAATATCAAGTCCTTCTGGAAAGTAATTATACCATGATTTTAATCTATTTGATTTAAATGAACTCAACCGTGGTTAGTACCTCCTATAGTGAAAGACACTCTCACCTGTTGCTCCCACATCCCCGCTTCTCGACGGCCCATCTGGTAGCCTTCCACCAAGGCCACTGCCTGAGCACACGTTTCTGGCCCTCGTTCCCACACCCAGCTCTGGATCTCCTGGGGCAAGATGGTCAAGAACTGTTCGAGGATCAGCAGCTCCAAGATCTGCTCCTTGGTGCGACTCTCAGGTTTTAGCCAGCGTCGGCAGAGCTCCCGCAGTCTCCGGCAAGCCTCCCGGGGGCCCTCCGAGTCCTGGTAACGGAACTGACGGAAACGCTGGCGCTGCATCTCCACGCTGGCGCCAGTCTCCCCTCGCAGGCCAGAGGATTTGGACTTTCGGTGCTCACTCCTACTGCTCCGGGCATCCAGGCCATTATGAGGTTGGTGGGCTTTTCCGCTGAGTGCAGGCATGAGACGGCTCATCCACTCACCTCTCGGCCACTGACAGGTTTCCGCCGCTCGCTCAAAGGATGACAAATAGGCCTCAATGTCATCGACGGGCGCCAGCTCAGGTAACTGGAGGTTCCCCCAGCCAGGAGCCGGGGGCGGGACGGGGACAGGGACGGGCACAGGCGGTGGCACAACATCGGCAGGTGTCCGCAGGGATTGTACCATCTCCTGACACTGAACCTCCCACAATTGTGGTATTGGGTCACTCCTCACCTGAGGAGGAGTGGCCCACCGCAACAGGTCGCTGATGGTGCCGGCCTGGACGACGAGGGGGGGTTTCCCTGGAGCGTCCCACTCCCACCCAGCCTCAGGGCACGGCGGTCCAGGGTCCTCCATTTTCACCCTGGGCGGCATTGTTTCTTCTAGAGGGTACAAAAAATGGAGGCCCAATGCTGGTGGAGGCACTTCTTGAGTGGCAGCCATTCTTCCCCCTCTCAGGGAAAGAAATTCAGGCTTCACAACCGTCTTGTCAGGAATAAACGAAATGGCCCGTGGAGACTCAGACTGATTGAAAGATGCTCACAGTAAGCCAGACAGGGGGTGAGACGGCCCGAGAGGAGAGGTTGGATCACCTGCCAATCCTACTGTCAACAAAAGGATTGCTGACACAGAAAGGAAGAAAAAACAATATCTGAGATTTATGCTCTTTCCAAAATTTCCCGTGGTTCACAACTATCTATCCTATGGGGCATGTGCAAGATCTTTGGTGGTTTGAGTGTTAAAATTGTGGCTTAAGAGATATTGCTTTTTTCTGAAATTTCAATTAGCATAGATGCAAAGCAGTGTGCACCAACTCAGTCAACTCCACACTGCTCAAGTCTGCAGTCCTCAATTTATTGTTTATTATTTATTATTGATTTACTGTATTTGTATACCGCCTTTCTCAGCCCGCAGGCAACTCAATGAAGAGAAGTTAGTTAGTATTGGAATAGTCTGAGGGTTTCCCTTTCCCCATGTCTTTTGTATGACAGTTGGGAATGCATCTTCTTCATCTCTTTTCTCTTTCTGTTCTCATTCGGATTGGTTGTTTAAAATGGATAGTTTTCTACTGCAAGCTTTTTGAATCTGCCTTCTGCCTTCTTGCACTTTACTATGGAGAGTATGTGCTGTGTGCTTTGAGATCTCTCTCTGCTTGTATGTCAGGAGAGATGTAGTGATTGAGTTTTTCCCTCTCTTGAAACCTTAGAAAAGATGGGCGTTAGAGTAGCTCAGCCTCAGTTCTACCACAAATAAATGCAGTTACAGTAGAGTCTCGCTTATCCAACCTTCACTCATTCAACATTATGTATTATCCAACGCAGTCTGCCTCCCACTAGGAATAATGACCAGGGTGGGAGTAATAAAGAACCCTTTTCTGTTCTGAAATATATAAAGACTTTCTGTATATAGTTCAGATTTCAATATTAATGTCAAAAATACGTAGTATGATTTTACATAGGATTTTTGCTACATTAGAACAGTAAAGACAAATATCACTTAAGTAAAATAAACATTAAATATTAAATAACCAGAAATATTAGTAAAGACAGTAATTACTACATAACGTTACTGTGTATTGAACTGCTTTCTCTATCCATTTTTTTTGTAAAACATGATGCTTTGGTGCTTAATTTGTAAAATAATGTAATTTGATGTTTAATAGGCTTTTTCACTTCACTTCACTTCACTTTATTTCTTAATTAGTCGCTCTCCACCAAGGTGCTCCAAGCGACTTACAATTTAAAATAGCATTTCACAATATAAAAACATTCAACATAAAAACATTCAACAGTGACTATTTGGCAAATTAGATCCGATTACTTAAATGCACAACCAAACAGCTATGCCTTGAGTGCTTTTACAAAAGGTTGCAACTCCGACATTGCTCTAATATATGGAGGCAATGAGTTCCACAGAATTGGAGCATAGATCGAAAAAGCTCTACACCTTGTAGTTTCCAGGTGTACCTCCCTAGGGCCTGGTATGTATAGGAGATTTTTCTTTATCTCTCCTTATTACCCAACACTTTCGGTTGTCCAGCGTTCTGCTGGCCCATTTATGTTGAATAAGTGAGACTCTACTGTAGTTCTTATCATTGTAAATAAACCTTTTGTGATTTTTTAAGATTGGACTCTACATGTTTGCCTCCTAAGCTCTGAATTCTTTACAGCCACATCACACAGCACTTCACACTCTGCTCGCTAATGAGCTGATGCTCAACTTTTGTATCCTGTTTGTTTTTGGGTGCTCTGCTTTATTTTAGGGTAGTTTTCCCTAACAGAAAGGGTTACGGGCCCAGTCTGCATGCCGAGACTGTACGTGTGCTGAAAGAAAGAGCTTGAAAGAAAAAATAGGAAGGCTGAAAAAAGCAGAGAGAGGCTTCTTTAAAAAAGGTTTTTGAAGTTCATCCTAGTTGGGACGATGGGAGTTGTGGTACAACATATCCAAAAGATACTGAGTTTGGAACAGAGGAGCTGAACTTAAATATATGTTCTGAACTGAAGGAAATATAAGAGCCCCACTGGATCAGATCAACATGGTCAATAATAATAATAATAATAATAATAATAATCTTTATTTATACCCGCCACCATCTCCCCGATGGGGACTTGGAGCTTACATGAGGCTAAGCCCAGAAGCCTACAAGAAAAATCACAAAGTGACGGCAACTCTCCCCTGATAACACACACAGCAGTATATGGTATTCAGTGATATACTGCCTTTGTATAGAAAAATTCTCTACAAAATGAAATTATGACTGCAATATGTGGAGAATTACTTGCCGTGCAGGACTCCATCCACACAATTGCATTCCAAACCCAACTCCACTGTTTCCTGTTCTGAGTGTGATTCTATGACCAACCTCTGGCAGGAGATGATAACAGAGTCATGCTGGAGTATCTAAAGATTCTTAGTTCAATCTGAGGTCTCTTAGAGACAGATAAACATCTGGTCCTTGTAAGTTACCCAGCAGTTAACAGTGGTGATTTTTCATATATCAAGCAGCTTTTACTGCCTCAAAAATCTGATTAGCGAATTCCAAAATTCCATACAAACAAGAGGTGCACTTGAACCAAAATTGAGCAAAGTGCATCCCCCAGCCTTTGAGCTACAATTCCAGGCTCTTTAAGCTACCTGGAAGAGGACAGGTTGCCTAAAACTGATTTTTCTTCTCAAAGAGTTGGATGGTGGGTGCTTCATTCTGGAGGCAAGGCTTTGTAAGAGCGACCATTTAGGTCAGGTCAGGTTCTGGAGAAAGGATGAGCTCATCCCTCAATGCTCCAAAACTTGGAACTTTTCCTGGTTGACATTACTGTCCCTCAAAACCCAGTTGGGAGTGCTGTTTGCATGGACAGGCAATTAAAAACATAAGATGTTTACATGGACATCTATAACAAAGAGTCTGGAAAAGTTACTTTCTGGACTACAATTGCTAGAATTTTCAGCCAGCGGGATGACTGGCCATGCTGACTGGGAGCCCTTCCACACAGCCTTATATCCCAGAATATCAAGGCAGAAAATCCCACATTATCTGAGTGTGGATTCAGATAACCCAGTTCAAAGCAGATATTGAGATTTTCTGTCTTGATATTCTGGGATATAGGGCTGGGTGGAAGGGCCCTGAGAGTTGTTCAAGTAACTCTTCCAAAGTAATTTTCTTTTCCCCCAAATCTGCTACTTTGGCACATTTGTTTATAATATACTAGCCATACCCTGCCACGCGTTGCTGTGGCCCAGTCTGTGTATATGTGTTTTGTGTGTGTATATATGTGTGTGTGTGTTTGTGTATATATGTGGTTTTGTGTTGTAATTTTTTTTTGCTTTTTAAGTCTCTTCTGCTGTGTTTTTCAGTGTTTTTATGAGTGATGGTCACTCGTTGGCCTGATAGGCATATTGTGTCCAAATTTGGTGTCAATCCGTCCAGTGATTCTTGAGTTATGTTAATCCCACAAACGAACATTACATTTTTATTTATATAGATCACCAATCTAATGTCAACCAGGGTTGCAGTATAGGCATACCTCGTGCCCCTTCTAAACTGTCCTGATATCCCAGGATTGGATCCCAGGGCCCTTCCACACAGGCATGTAACCCAGAACATCAAGGCAGAAGATCCCGCAATATCTGCTTTGAAGTGGGTTATCTGAGTCCACACTGCCATATATTCCAGTTCAAAGAAGAAAATGTGGCATTTTATTCAGCTGTGTGGAAGGGGCCCCAGATTATCTGCTTGTCCCAGATTATATGGCAGTGGAGACTCAGGGCCCTTCCACACAGCCCTATATTTCAGAATATCAAGGCAGAAAATCCCACATTATCTGAGTGTGGACTCAGATAACCCAGTTCAAAGCAGATATTCTGGGACCCTCATAGAATCCAGTTCAAAGCAGATTCATATAATCCAGTTCAAAGCTTAAGTGGCTGAGGAGGGGAAAAAAGGGGCCTAAGGCTGTTAGGAATTGTGGGAGTTGAAGACCAAAACACTCGGAGGGCCCAAGTTTGCCCCTGCCTGCTCTTGGATCGCTTTTGTAAGTAGAGTCGCCCCATTTTCTCCACATTTTGATGTTGCCTTCGAGTCAGCTGGAACCTAGTTGGCCCAGAAGACAAAAAGCCACAATCCAGGGCTTCTCCAGTGATGAATCCCACCCTTCTTCTGTGAACCCAAGTGTCCTTCCTCCCCATCACAGATCCCCACTTACCTCTCCTTCCAATGAGTCCTGACTCCCCAATAACTAACCAAGACTTTGTTTCTCTTTTTAAGAAAATCCTGCTAGACTCATCCCAAAAGTTCTGCCTTCCTAAAGAGAACCCAGGACTCCTGATCCCTCTCTCTCTCTATCTAGCTGACCACTTCTCTCTCACACTCACTCACTCATTCACTCAATCCTTACGTTTCGCCTTCATCTATGGTAGACATCCTCAGTTGGAAACTAGGCAAGTGGGTTTTATATATCTGTGGAATGTCCAGGGTGGGAGAAAGAACTCTTGTATGTTTGAGGCAAGTGCAAATGTTGCAGTTGGCTACCTTGATTAACATTGAATGGCCTTGCAGCTTCAAAGTCTGGCTGCTTCCTGTCTGGGGGATTTCCAGACAGGAAACAATCCGGGCAGCGAACACTTCTGAACAAAGGATTCCCCCTAAGCAGGAACCAACCAGGTTTTATTTATTTTTATTATTTATTTCGGGCTTTTATACCCCGTCCTATCTCAATCTCCGCAGAGGGACTCAGGACGGCTTTGAAGCTGCAAGGCCATTTAATGCTTATCAAGGTGACCAACTGCAACATTCACACTTACCTCAAGCAGACAAAAGTTCTTTCTCCTTCCCTGGATATTCCACAGATATATAAACCTTACTTACCTAGTTTCCAACAGATCCCTCAACTTATGAGGGTGCCTGCTATAGATGCAGGCAAAACGTCAGGAAAGAATGATTCTGTGACATGGCCATACAGCCTGGAAAACTCACAGCAACCCAGTGATTCCGACCAGGCGGCCATGAAAGCCTTTGACAATACATTCTCACTGATCTCCTCCCCCCAAGAGTCCGGGATCCCAAGTAACTCTTGTTTTCTAGGCAACCCAATTGATCTCATCCCAAAGGCCGGAACTCTGCTGCCTCCTTAAGACTCCAATCCCTTTCTCTTTCGCTCTCAATACAGGGATTTGGTTCCCGGACCCCTGTGGATAACCACATTTGCAGATGCTCCAGTGCCACAATGGTGAGGCAAAACCATGCCCATGAGATCAAAGGGCAAATTCTTTGTGGATTATTATTATTTTGGGAATAGATTTCCAAGCCTGAGATGTTGCCATCTGTGGAAGCAGGATTTATAAGAGCAGCCTCTCCTCTTCCAACCCTAGGGCCTCATCTACATTGCCATATAATGTGGTTTGAAACTGCATTATCAGCTGAGTGCAGAGATGCTATGTTCCTTGGGTCAAATGGGTCTCTTTACTCCTTCCAAGGTATTAATATTATTTTGGGAATATATTTCCAAGCCTGAGATGTCTGCAATCTATGGAAGCGGGATCACTGAAAAGGTTATAAGAGATTCCTGACTCTCTTCCAACCCTAGGGCATCATCCACACCACTATATAATGTGGTTTGAAACTGCATTATCTGCTGAGTGCAGAGATGCTACACTTCTTGGGTCAAGTGGGTCTCTTTGCTGCTTCCAAGGTATTAATATTATTTTGGGAATATATTTACAAGCCTGAGATGTTTCAATGTGTGGAAGCAGGATCTTTGGACGGGTTATAAAAACCATTCAGAGTTCCAGATCCTCTTCCAACCCTAGGGCATCATCTACATTGCCATGTAATGCAGTTTGAAACTGCAATATCTGCTCAGTGAAGATGCTATGATATTTGGATTGAGTGGGTCTCTTTGCTGCTTCCAAGATATTATTATTTTGGGAACAGATTTACAAGCCTGAGATGCTGCAAAGTGTGGATGCAGGATCCCTGGAAAGGTTATAAGTGGTTCCAGACTCTCTTCCAACCCTAGGACCACATCTACATCGCCATGTAATGCAGTTTGAAACTGCATTATCTGCTCAGTGAAGATGCTACGATATTTGGGTTGAGTGGGTCTCTTTACTGCTTCCAAGAGAATCCTTGGAAGGGTTATAAGTGGTTCCAGACTCTCTTCTGACCCTTGGGTCTCATCTATATCACCATATAATGCGGTTTGAAACTGCATTATCTGATCAGTGCAGGTTCGGCTACACTCCTTGGGGTTGAGTGGGTCTTTTTGTTGCTTCTAAGAGCATCCTTGGAAAGATTATAAGCAGTTCCAGACTCTCTTCCAACCCTGGGGCCTCATCTACATCACCATCTAAAGCAGTTTGAAACAGCATTATCTGCTCAGTGCAGAGATGCCACACTCCTTGGGTTGAGTGGGTCTCTTTGCTGCTTGCAAGAGCACCCTTGGAAGGGTTATAAGTGGTTCCAGACCCTCTTCCAACCTTAAGGCCTTATCTACATCACCATATAATGCAGTTTGAAACGGCATTATCTGCTCTGTGCAGAGATCCTATCCTCCTTGGGCCGAGTGGGTCTCTTTGCTGCTTCCAAGCGCATCCTCCTCTCCCTCCCTCCCTCCTCCATCATCTTCTTTCCCCTCGATCTCAAATAGCAGCATTCATTTTTTGGAATCCTTTTTTGTTTACCTTTTTGGGGAAGCTCTCTCTCTCTCTCTCTATCTATCTACCCAAGGACTCTCTTGCAACTCTTGTTGGGAGGAGGGGGCTCCCTCCATGCTGGCAAGGCGCCCCTCTTCCCTGCGGGGTCTTCCCGGGCCAAAGGATTCCCTCCCCAACTCTTTCCCCTCCGCCTCCATTGTTCCCGCCCCGCCTGCAGGAGCCAGCCATCCAGCCCGGGCCCGGCGCCTCCTTCCTTCCTTGCTCGCCTCCCGCCCTACCTGCCTTGGGCTGCTCTTTTCAGGGCTCCGGCGCCGGAGGAGGAGGAGGGCAAGGAGGAGGAGGACGAAGAAGAAGAAGAAGGGAAGATCCCCGAGGAGGAGGCGGCGGCGGCGGCGTCTCCGCCTTGCTTCCCGCGGCGCCCATCCCGCCCTGCCTTGCCTTGCCCTGCCCTGGAGGTGGCCTCTCTCTCGCCCAGGTTGCTGGCTCCCGGGCTGCGCGCCGGAGAGGCTGGGGTTAGTCCCCCCTCCGCAGGGCAGGCACTGGCTCCGCTCCCTGTCACTCAGCGCCGAAAGGAAGGGGAAGCCGGCTTGGGACGGCCCCCTTGGCCCCGGAGGGGAGGGGAAGGGAAGGCAGGAGGGATGGATAGATGGATGGATGAGTTGGGAGGGGGCAGCCCGGGCCAGGGAGGCTCCTCCTGCGCCTCCTCCTCCTCCTCCTCCTCCTCCATCCCCGCGCATGGCACAGGAGCAGCAGCCTCTCTCTTTGGAACTCCACCTCTCTCTTGGTTGGGTTTCCAAGGGCAGGGAAGTCAGGGCCACCCTTGGAGAGCATCTCCAACTCAGGCCCCTTCTGCAATGCCCACCAAACCCTTCTAGTGTTTTCTATTCGTCATGTGAGTCCTGTGTGCTATGTTTGGTTCAGTTCAATCATTGGTGGAGTTCAGAATGCTCTTTGATTGTAGGTTAACTATAAACCCCAGCAACTACAACTCCCTAATGACAAAATCATTTTTTTAGTGATGGTCACTCCTTGGGTTTGTAGGTGTCTTGTGGCCAAATTTGGCGGCAATTCATCCAGTGGTTTTTGAGTTATGTTAATCCCACAAATGAACATTACATTTTTATTTATATTGATTTCCCCCATAGTTATCTGTTTTGAACTGGGTGATGAGTCTACCCCAGTCATGGGCAAACTTCGGCCCTCCTTCCAGGGGTTTTGGACTTCAACTCCCACAATTCCTAACAGCCTACTATATTGATTTGTTTTTACTTTCCCCACCTCTCCCTCTCTCTCTCTCTCTCTCTCTAGTTCTCCAGCTCCTTCCCACATTTTGGTTTTCAAGGTCAGAAAGTCATTATTGGTGGCATCTTGAACTCAGTTGCTGCTTGGGCTCCTATTGTTTGTTAGGAATTGTGGGAGTTGAAGTCTAAAACACCTCAGGGGATGGCTAAAGTTTGCCCATGGCTGGTCTACATTGCCATATAGTCCATTGACCTTGCAAAGGCATTTGACACAGTGAATCGCAGCTCTCTCTGGACCATCCTCCAAAAAATTGGGTGCCTTGACAAATTTGTGAACATCCTATGGCTCCTCCATGATGACATGATGGCAACAGTCTTGGACAGCAATGGCTCCCAAAGTGACCCATTTAAAGTGGAATCCGGTGTCAAACAAGAATGTGTTATTGCCCCAACCTTATTTTCCATCTTCATCGCTATGATACTTCATCTTGTTGGTGGGAAGTTTCCCACCGGAGTGGAAATCATCTATCGGACAGATGGCAAGCTGTTTAACCTCAGCAGACTGAAAGCCAAAACCAAGGTCACAACTACATCCGTTATAGAACTCCACTATGCTGATGACAACATCGTCTGTGCACATTCAGAAGAAGACCTACAAGCCACTATAAACACCTTCGCAGAAGCATACGGCCTGTCACTGAACATCGAGAAAACCAAAGTGCTCTTCCAGCAGTCACCAGCCAATCCCCCTCCAATGCCAGAAACACAGCTTAATGATGTAACATTAGAAAACATTGACCATTCCCGCTACCATGGCAGCCACCTCTCCACAAAAGTCAACATTGACACTGAAATACAACACTGCCTGAGCTCTGCGAGTGCAGCATTTTTCTGAATAAAGCACAGAGTATTTGAGGACCGGGACATCCGTAGGGATACCGAGGGGCTTGTTTATAAAGCCATTGTCCTCCCAACTTTCTATACGCCTGCAAAATGTGGACTGTCTAAGACAGTGGTTCTCAACCTGGGGTCCCCAGATGTTTTTGGCCTACAACTCCCAGAAATCCCAGCCAGTTTACCAGCTGTTAGGATTTCTGGGAGTTGAAGGCCAAAAACATCTGGGGACCCCAGGTTGAGAACCACTGCTCTAAGACGTCATACGCAACTCCTGGAATGATTCCATCAGCGCTGCCTCTGAAAAAACCCTGCAAATCTCTTGGGAGGGCAGGCAGATAAATGCCAGCGTGCTGGAAGAAGCAAAGACCACCAGCATTGAAGCGATGATCCTCCGCCATCACCTCTGCTGGACCGGCCACGTTGTCTGAATGCCCATCCACTGTCTCCCAAAGCAGTTGCTTTACTCCTAACTCAAGAATGGAAAACAGAATGTTAGTGGGCAGGAAAAGAGATTTAAAGATGGGCTCAAATCCAGCCTTAAAAACTGTGGCATTGACACTGAGAACTGTGAAGCTCTGGCCCTTGAGCACTCCAGCTGGAGGTCAGCTGTGACCAGCAGTGCTGTAGAATTTGAAGAGGTACAAATGGAGGGTGAAAGAGAGAAACATGCCAAGAGGAAGGCATGTCAAGCCAACCTTGACTGGGACCACCTTCCACCTGGAAACGTACGCCCTCTCTGCGGGAGAACATGCAGGTCAAGAATAGGGCTCCACAGTCACCTGTGTACTCACCACCAGTACACCAACCTTGGAGGACAATCTTACTTGGACAATGAGGGATCACCTAGGTAAAATAATCCAGATTATGAAGGTATTTCTCCCATAGCTATCTATTTTGAACTGGATGATCTGAGTCTACACCAGGCATGGGCAAACTTCGGCCCTCCCTCCAGGTGTTTTGGACTTCAGCTCCCACAATTGAGCTGAAGTCCAAAACACCTACAGTGGAGTTTCGCTTATCCAACCTTCACTCATCSAATGTTCTGTATTATCCAACGCACTCTGCCTCCTGCCTGGATCCACTTCTGTTTCAATACACTGCTGTTTCAAGCCCCCTCACCACGACAAGGAGACAGTCCATTGGGGGGGGGGGGGAGAGAAAGTCACTATTGTTATTTCATTTAATACAATATTCCTGCTTCTTGGCAGGGGTTGGACTGGATGGCCCATGAGGTCCCTCCCAACTCTATGATCCTATGATTCCTTCCCTCAGTTGCTGTTTTGACTCTTTCGGCCAATTCCACTCTTGCTCTCCCAGGCACAGAAAGAGCCTCTCTCTTAACCTTTCTTTCTTGCTTGCTTGCTTTCTCTCTTTCTTCCTCCCCCTTTCTTTATTTCTCCTTCACACCCTTCCCACTTTTGATTTTCAAGGATTTCAAAGGCACTACTGCCCTCCTTTGATGGCATCTTCAACTCAGTTGTGCCCTCACCTTCCCAGGCACAGAAAGAGCAGTTTCTTCTAAATTGCTTGCCTCTTAACTTTTTTTTTTTACCAACCTTTTTATTTCTTCTCTATCATGTTCCCACTTTTGATTTTCAGTGGCGGAAAAGTCACAATTGCCCTCCTTTGGTGGCCTCTTTGATTCAATGTCATCACCTCAGAGTTTGTTCAAAGTGCGCATGGCCTTAGGATGCATCTGAACTGTAGGATTTATGCAGTTTGATGTGCCTTTAGCTGCCATGACTCTATGCTTTGAAAACTTGGGAGCTGCATTTGGATGAGGCACCAGCAATCTTCGACAGAGCGGCCTAGGTAAAGGTAAAGGTTTCCCCTGTCATTAAGTCTAGTCGTGTCTGACTCTGAAGGTTGGTGCTCATCTCCATTTCTATGCCAAAAAGCCGGTGTTGTCCGTAGATGCCTCCAAGGTCATGTGGCTGGCATGACTGCATGGAGCGCTGTTACCTTCCCGCAGAAGCGGTACCTACTGATTGAGCTGCTCATATTTGCTTGTTTTTGAACAGCTAGGTTGGCAGAAGCAGGGCCTAACAGCGGGACCTCACCCCTCACTCTGGATTCGAACTGCCGACTTTGTAGTTGGCAAGTTCAGCAGCTCAGCGGTTTAACCCCCTGCGCCACCAGGGGGGCTAAAGACCTTGTAAAACTAAAACTCCCAAGAATCCAAGCATTGAGCCATGGCAATTCAAGTGTTGACAACCTCCACTAATTCTACGGTGCAGTTGCAGTTGGGGGTCGTTTTTCAGAGACGGGAACTATTTCAGAAAATGGAACACTGTCAGTTAAAGTAGTATTATAGTGCTATAGCTGTGCAGTGTGAACAGGTCTATGGTGGTAATTGCAACGGCTTCAAATTAAAAATTCAACATCATTAACTGTGATACATATTTTAACAACACTGCAAAAAATGAAAGTTTATTTATTAAGCCCATTAAATTAAGCAGAGGAAACAACACACTTGCAAAAACACACTTCTTCCATCTTTAAAAAAATAATAACAATAATAATAATAATAATAATAATAATTGTGCGGTTTTCTGGCATTGTACATTTCTGCCGCTTCTGTGATGGTTCATTTGTATTTTGATTCTGTAGCTCAATTGTAGATGGATATCCAGAATCAGCAGCATCCACCGCAGTCCTTTTTATCCTGGGTGTCGACCAAGCCAGTATAGACTTCGTTTTGGTTTGCTTCTCCATAGTGCTAATGGGCTAGGTGCTCTTGGTTCAACTCCTCAGCTGAGACCTCTTTGGCTTGGTTGGACCTGCTGGTAGTTACACTACCGCCAGCACAACTCTCAGCATCCTTGGAGCAGTTAAGCCCCCCACCACGACAAGGTGGCATCCATCAGGGGGTGGCATCCCTGGGTGGGCACAAACCACCAACCTTTCGGTTAACAACCGAATTATTGGTGTCACCATGCCAGGTGGATTATTGATGTCGCCATACAAGGTGACAGTTGCATTGAGGAAAAACAACAGGAAAAACTCAGCTGCTATCAAGACCTCAAAATCGAACTGCAAAGATTCTGGCATAAACCAGTACAGGTGATCCCAGTGGTCATTGGCGCACTGGGTGCTGTGCCAAAAGATCTCAGCCGGCACTTGGAAACAATAAACATCAACAAAATCACGATCTGTCAACTGCAAAAGGCCACCTTACTTGGATCTGTGTGCATCATTCGAAAATACATCACACAGTCCTAGACGCTTGGAGAGTGTTCGACTTGTGATTTTGTGATACAAAATCCAGCATATGGATCTCGTTTGCTGTGACATACTGTGTTTTTGTGTCAATAATAATAATGATGATGATAATAATTTATTTATAACACGCCCTATCTCCCCGAGGAAACTTCCAATAACAACAAAAATAAGAAGTCCTGGGGA